TTTGCATTTTCTCCTGGGGCATTCAAGTCTTGCCACAAGTTCTCATTTAGGTCATTTAGGTTTTCTTAAGGACTGACTTGTATTTAGCTCCAATCCTCTGATTCATTTTCATATTGTTACAGGGAAAGGGAAAAAAAAAACAAAAAAAAACAGCCAACTGCATGGTGTTGCCATCACAAGGTTCCACAATGGTGATGTGCAATTTTAGCTTGTTGCTATTCAATGTTTTGTATGCCGGCCAAAATTACTCACTTATGCAACACTGGATTTCAATTAAGGTGGATCAAAAAATATATTTTTTCTTTTTTCAGATTTTTTATTTTCTTTTATATGAAAAGGCCCAAATAAACAAGAACTTCCTTTAACCTGAAGTTTGGTTGTAATCTGAAAGTTTTGAGTTTTTCAAAGACACTGTACCTGTAACCAACATTCGCCTCCTTCTGTTATGCTCTGTTTGTTCTTCAGAGCTGCACCCATTTCTACTATAAATAATTCACCAGTCTCATTTCAGGTTGAACACAAGGAATCCCAACCTGAAGCTGCAGATCTTTTAATGAAGTGAATCCCTTGATTTTATCCATGGGAGTTATTGAGGTAAACTCAATATGTCTGGACACTGAATACAAACCTCTCCCCTGGGTCACAATCACTGTTTTTTTATTCAATTCTGACCACAATTAAGTTTTGTTTAAAACATGAGAAAAAGAGCCTTACCTTGGCCACCAGCAGCATCAGGCTGGCCCGACCCGCCTCCCTCCACAACAGCTGCCACCTCTGGCACTGAAATGTGGAACTCGATTTTTTTCGGCCCTGCAGGGTTGGGGTTCTCAAACACATCGGAGGGCTGCAGCACCGGAGCACTGAGGGCCACAGAGAAAAAAAAAAAAACTGAGCACGCAGCAAAGCTGGATGATGTATGGTTGCTTTGTAATTTTTTTTTAGTTTTGCTTAATCTGAGATGTTCTGCAGTCAGACAAACATGTGGCCAGGAGATGTATTTATAGTCTGGAAACAAACTCTGTGCTCTGCTCTCCAGGGAAGGAATGTGCAGGTGTGTGAAAATATGGAGCAAGGAGAAGTGGCTGAGCCACACCGGGGGCCGTCTTTAGGAGAAAGACTGATTGTCTGGAGATTTTTGGCCTCGGCTTTAACCGAGCTATGAATGAAGTATCCGGATAAATCTTGTTGGAGGATTGTGACACGCCTGAGTGCTTTCTGTGTACCTCTGAGAGTCTGGTTTGGGAATGTAGAGCAGATCCTTGATCTTTGGCTTCTTTCTTTTTGAAGCCGTTTTTGCTCTCAAGGGTCTCTTGCATGCTTGGTTGACCAGCCCCATCAAACGTACAATCCTCACAAATAAAACAAGCACAAGGGAAAGAATTGACCAACCGGGAAAACAAAACAAGCCTTCTTCATCTAAGGCAAATGAAATGTCTAAACCAACGAGTCTGACTTAGTTCAAGATGATTCGATCCTCACCTCTCTTTATCCTCATCATCCTCACTCTCATATTCTGACTCTTCCTCACTGGCCAGCTCCAACTGCTCCTCTGGTAAAGGTGGATAGTCGGGGGGGAAAGGGGGAGGCATGGGAAAGGGTGGGGCGGGGGGCAAGAGCTCGAACTGCAACAAAAAAAGATGTATGGATTAGCTTCAACTCAAACAGCAGCAGGTCTGGTTTATCAGGAGGAGAAAAAACAAAGAGATGGAGGATTTTTATAGGACCTGGCAGATTCAGATTTATTTGTTCAAGTTCTGTGGTCCAAAATGACATTACATTGAATGAATCATGCATTAAAAATGTTTTACTATTATGCTTTTTTTTGATGATATAACAGCTAACAACATTTTTTAACAATAAATATCAAACAATCTTCAGAATGTTTTTCCCAAATCAGCAGCAGAAGTTTCTCTTCATGTTTTCACTCTTCTCTCCAGTTCATCCCAAACCAGCTCGATGGGGTTTAAGTCTGGAGGCTGTGTCAGCTGCTCCATGTTTTTACAGGTTTACCCATTTTTTTTTCTTTTCTTAGGTGGTTCTGACACAGCTGGCACTTATGTTTGGCGATTACCCCTCGCACTGATTTTGCACCAGGAAGGCAGAGCGGGAATTCTAAATTCAGCTATCCCGAAAAATCTAATAAAAGGCTTAATGACGTAAAAGGGGAATATGCTTCACCAAAGGGGGTGGAACACCCGGTTTTTCATCCGTACAAAGCTAACAAACAAATCTTCAGTTCATCGTTACATATTAATACAGAGCCTGATTTTATATGTGATAAAACATGCTTGAGATCTTCACCTCCTTCTTAATGTTCTATATTCAATCACCTGCTTTTGCATCGGACACAATTTCACTCACAGCCAAGCTGACTGTGTCCCATTATCCTATTATCCTTCTATATCCTATATTATCCTTCCTCTGTTGTTGATTTGTTCATTCCAGCTCTGAAATAACTTGACTGACTTGATGCAGGAACTTTTTTGCCTCATTTTCTTTGTCTTAATGTTTGCTGATCAGGTGAAATGAATCATTTCTGCTCAGGGGAGTGGCGGCCTAATGGTTAGACTGCCACTCTGGGTCCCTGAGCAAAGACCCTTAGCCCCACACTGCTCCCTGGGCACCCAAAAATGGCAGCCGCTGCTCCCCAAGGGGATGAGTTAAATGCAGAGGTAAATTTCTCCAATATGAGGTCAATAAAGGTAAATTATTATTAAAAATCCCAGGTAACGTTGTGCTTCTCATCCTCGTTTTGTCAGGGCTTTGTTTACACTGGCTTGCATTTCCATTATTGCAGTTGGTGTTGATTGTCATCATTTTTGCAGCAACACACCATCTGAAGTATGATACTGTTCAACTGATGCTCACAAGGGTATGGAACCACAATCTGTTCCAGCACTGCTTTTATGTAAACAGAGGTGGTTGTAATGAGTCATAAAAGGTTAAAACACTGGTAGGAATTAGCGCCACAAGCTACAGAACAAATTGTTAACTCATTTTGTATTTCCAGATAAAGGCTCTGAGTTTTTCACTGAAAGTCCCTTTCCTGAAAGGGGATTAGCAAGGAGAAACTCCTGATATCAATGCTGCACATCACCTCCCTTTTGTCCCACAGAGCTGGCCTTATTGTTGAAAGCTCACAGTTCCGGGATATGTCGAAAATCTTAGCTTGTGATTTGAGCTCAGAGGTGACCTGGTTAAAGATGGGAATCATTTGTGAAAAAAAGACTTTAAATCATCTGTTCTGGTTTTGTCATCATTCCAAAGTATTTTGGCAACACTTTTGTACTTTTATTGTGTCAAAAATATCAA